ATATGGGGGGCCCCTCAGATTTCAATACCCTCTTGACCCCCTAAATCTTAGGTCATCATCCCTTAGCTGGTCCTGTGGTGGGATAATTTGCTGAACTGTAATATGAGGCACATAATTCTCAACAGGATTTTGGAGCCTTTAATAACCTAGAAGTTCTGCACATGCTTAGCTTCTTTTCCTTTTCTGTGGAGGCTTCTCTGTGATATTTGAATCTCTGGCTAATCAGATTTTCAATCCATGAAAATTTCTAAGTGGTCAGTTGTAGGGTCCCTCCTGGGAAAATTCACTAGCGGGTATAAATGCCTGAGACCTGAGGGAGGTAAAGGAAAAGTAATTCTCTTGGTTTTCTTAGATTTCAAGGAGAGTCAGAGATAAAATGAGTGTTTTAATTCAGTTTCAGAAAAAGATAATACATGAACTTGGATTAGAAAACATGACATTAAAAGGTTTGCTTTTCCAGAAATGCAAAAACAAAACAAAACAAAAACCTTCATTGCAGTTGATGATAATTTTCTTGATCTTCCTCTTGCTATATATCTTCTTCCCGAAACATCTACTCCAAGAACCAACTCACCCTCTTTATCTCCATGTAGCTGGGCCTGGATAATTCTCTACTCCTACCTATCTCCTTTCAGTCACACTGTGTGGGTGCTAAAGGCCCTGGGCTCTGACCAATGAACAGAACTGTCCTTTAAGCCAGCAACCCACAGGCAGTGGCACCCAAAGCCTCACCCCCAGTTCCCAGGGCAGAGGCTACAGAGCTGGCATTGTTTCCACTGTCTTGGGAAGAAGGAGCCAAACGCTGATCCTCAGCACAAATCAAAGTCCAACATGGAAAGAGAATAAGGGCTCCTTGGCTCAGTGTAGGCTGTGAGCTGTGGGCAGGAAAAGGGAGTTTTTGCAGCCACTCCATCATTAGAAACAAGGGGAAAACTGGACCTTTTTCTACTATTGTGGTTCTACAAGCTACAAAGGGATCTGCAAGCACAAAAGGATTTAAACACATTAGGAGAACTGTTCACTGGAGATAAGAGTGACTGACAAACAGGAAAGTAAATCAATGTAATAATTTGTAGGAAGATGATGCTGGGATCTTCAGTTCTTCACATGGCTGCCAGCCCCAGAGAGGACAATACAGTAAGAACTAAGACGACCACTCCAGACTGGTAGAGTTGGGTAATCTTCAGGCCTTTTCCTAGGTCCCACATCTGTAGAAAAAGGAAAACAAAATTAAAAAAAAAAAAAAAATCCCCCCCTCCCCTAGTACCCAAGAACCTGGTCACAGCAACTTTCTCAAAAACAAATTATCTATTGGAATAGGCACCTCCTTTCTGCGTGAGGAAAAGCACTTACATCTTAAGGTTTGACCTTTACTCTTCTCAATATGGTACTTAACATCCACTTATCCCAATGACAGAAAATCAAGTCCCACTGTGTGGTGGTAGTAAAAAGAGTATTCTCTAGAACTGCCACAGAACCTTCATACAAAAGCTTCCACACAGAACAGATAAACCTTTTTCTCCTGTCAACATATGTAGACCACATAGACCAGTGTTTACTGAACTGTGTTTCTCCACAACTTGTTCTGCATAATGTTGTAAGGCATTATATTGAGTGGGGGGAAGTTCCATGGTCATATAAATCTGACAAACATTTAACTGAAAGACTCTCAATTTATTACTGTGTACCGTTAATCTTGAAAAGGGGATACAATATTCATGTATGGTCAATCACAAAATTCCTTGTTAGAACATCTATCAGAGTATTAGTATTTTAAAGAATACTCTGGGATCTAAAATACCGTTTTTCAATTTTGTTTTGACTATGACTCCACTAATATCTTCCAAATTGGAACCAGGTAGAACTCTGTGTATAATATACCAAAAGTTCATGAAACAACAAACATTTACCCACACCAATGTGTATTGCATTTTATATTTTCTATTTTTGGTGGCAGTAACTCACTAAATTTTCTACCCACTGGGTTGAAACCACACTTTAAAAAACACTAGTCTAAGTTGGGCACAGTGGCACACTCCTGTAATCCCAATGAGGCAGGAGGATTCAAGTTCAAGGATAGCCTCAACAATTTAGTGAGGCCCTTGGCAATTTAGTGAGCCCCTACTCAAAAGAAAAAAGACTAGGGATGTGACTCAGTGGTAAAGTGCTCCTGGATTAAATCCCCAGTACCTAAATAAATAAATATATGAGTTTAGATTCTTGTACTCTAGGGATATTAACATATTACACTCTAAATTACTATAAGAGCCCCTGAGGAAAAAAGTAAGTTTGCCCACAGTCTGAATTTTATAGACTCGTATAAAATTAATTAAATTGGAGTCACTTTGGGGAAAAAATTGTAGAGAGACCCAGAAAAAAAAAAAAACAAGGTGAAAACATTCCTTTACCTACACCCCCAATTATGTTCTACCTAAACCAGATTAGGAGTCAAGCAGATTACACAGTATCTGTAAGCTGTTTTGCTTACAGAGGCACAGTTATGAGTCCTACTGGGTGGTGGGTAGTAGGAAGGATATTCTCTACAATGTTCCTACTCTTTGACATCAATATCTTTCTTCATTCCCCCATTAGATCTTCCAACAAGGCAAATACCAAGCTCAGAGGCCAAACACTAAACACTGCCACAGGAAATAGTTAAAATGCTGAATCATACTCAGAGCTAGTACTTTTTAGAAGAAAAATTTTAAATTTAAAGGCTTAAGAAAAGCCTTTAGGCCAGGTACAATAGTACATGCCTGTAATCCCAGTGGCTCGGGAGGCTGAGGCAGGAGGACTGCAAGTTCAAAGCCAGCCTCAGCAACTTAGTGAGGCCCTAAGCAATTTAGCGAGACTCTGTCTCAAAATAAAAAAGGGCTGGAGATGTGGCTCAGTGGTTGAGCACTCCTGGGTTCAATTCCCAGTACAAAGAAGAAAAATGAAAAATCTTTAGGTTCATACATCTCTTACCAAAAAAATTCCTCTAATATGCAGGAACCAGGGCAGAAAAGTCCTGAGTTCGGGAATTGTGTAAAACCTCTCTCCTTGTAACAGTGGTCCACTTTATGCTTTGAATATAGCCCTTGCTGCTCTGCCATTGTAACTTATTTTTAAAATTGTTTCTTTCTCTTCCTCTCACCCTGCTCCTCCCTAATCTCAGGGGAAACAGAATTACCTTTCTTCCCCATCCCAGGCAGTTATCTGTCCCTGAGTACCTACCCACCATAGGAACAAAGTCATCCAGACTTCGGGGATGGTACCAGAAGATCTCAGAAATGACTATCTCCCAAATGAACAAGTGAATTACAACTCCAGACAGAGAACACATGGAATGCATCCTTTGAATCACCACTTTAAAAGCCTCCTGTTCCTGGTGATGGGCAGAATCACAGCCTTTGGAACAGGAGTCCCCTATGTTTCTCCTTTGCTAGCAAAGCAATAGACCTTTTTCCTTTTTCTCAAAACTGTGTCCTCATTACTGGATTGGTATCAGATACAAGAACTGAGCTTTTGGCAACATCCCTTCCCTCTCCTTCTCACCAGGATGTGGATGGAGGAAGCTGATCAGGGATTTTCTTTAGAGAGCTTTGTTCCTTGGAATAAGAAGTCATTAATGGAAATGCCCTTCCTCCCCACTAACTTTCCCTCAGGGAAGTGAAAAGTCATTTTAAATCAAACCAAACACTACCCTAGGGAACAGTTAATAGATACATTTAATTTAATAGGTCATTAAGTCTGTTTTATTTTTTAATTTTTTATTTTATTTCATTGAACCACCTATAGGAAATCTGACAAGTGCTGCATCTCTCTAAGGCTCTAATGTGGAAGGCAAAAGCATCTACCTGACACTTGGCTCAGGTTTAAATGTAATGGAAAACCAGATTTTTTATTGTTTTGTGGTACTACGGAATGGACCCAGGTCATTCTGCAACTGAGCATTACATCCCTAGTTGTTTTTATTTTTTATTTTGATATAGGGACTTGCTAAATTGTACAGGTTGGCTTTGAACTTGCAATCCTTCTGCCTTGGCCTCCAGAGGAGATGGAATTACAGGTGAAAAGAAAATTTTAATTGTCTTTTTGGGGAAGGACACAAGACTAGGAGTAGGGAGACTGACTTAAAAAGCTTAATTCCTGTATTTATTGATTATTTTGGGCATTGGGCATTGATTGGGGTTCTCTACTACTGAGCTAGATCCCCAGTACTTTCTATTTTTTTTATTTTGAGATAGGGTCTTGCAAAGTTGCTGAGGCTGGCCTCAAACTTGGGATCCTTCTGCTTCAACTCCCTAAATTGCTGGGATTACAGGTATGCACCATTGCACCCAACCCCCTTCATTTTCTTCATGAGAAGGACAGAAACACCTGTTCTGAATTGACACCAAGGCCATATAGGAGGCAACAGGAACAGTCTACAGTCCACTAATAAAAGATTCCTAAACCCAAGATAAAAATCTGGGATCCATGGCACCCAGTTTCTGTTGAAGTTGCCCCTTCTCTATAATCACTCAAAAGCAACAAAAACAGTTAATATAATTTAATGTCAAGCTAACAAAAGCTAATATAAAAAGACTTGTCACTTTGTGTTGACAGGAATGGTAAACTGAAAACAGCAACCATGTTCACTTAACTTATAATTGACATCCCCAGTATTTTGAACAGTGCTCGGCACCTAACAGGTACCAATTCATATTTATATAATAAATATGCTCCTATGCCAGATGAATGATTTGGCTTCAGGAGTCTCTTTTAATTATATTTTTCTTAAAACTGGAAGAATTCATACTGACAGCCTGCGAGTTCCTGCCTGGACTACACCTGATAAGGAATGCTGAGGAGGTCTTATTTAACTTTCCCCCAGAGGACCTTGAGTGAAGGTCCAGCACAACTAACCTTAAGAATAGCACTGAGGGTTTAAAGTATTGCTCAGTTGGTACAGCATTTATGCTTAGAATGTGTGAGGCTCTACGTTTAAGCCCCAACGTCAAGAAAGAAGAAGAGCACTAAACTCAACAATGAGGATCCTCTCAGCCTCCCCACTCCCATCACTCAGAAAACAGGCAAATCCATAATCAACTTACCAAGTGTCGAATTCCATTCCAGGTGTGATACATGAGAGGGAAAACAAGTGCAAATTTAGCTGTGTGGATCAGTGATGGTCCCAGACCCAGGGATTTCACAAATTCCAAATATGACTCGAAGTTTCCAGGGAGCAACAGGGCTGACAAGCCAAAGAGGTAGACCCCTAAGAAGAAAAAAAGAGCCCATCACAACTGCATACCAGTTATAAATCATAATGTGTAAAACAGGGTATCATGAAAGCTCCTGGAACCTTATACAACTCTGAAATACATGTTCAAGTTTACAGTGGCAGATTGGTTAAGATGCAACCTGATGGTAATCTCAATACAAAGTTTTCTTTTTAATCTGTGTATTTGGTACTAGGGATTGAACCCAGGGCACTCTTCCACTGAGCTACAACCCCAGCCTTTTTTTTATTTCATTTTGAGAGAGGGTCTTGCTAAATTGCCCAGGCAGGCCTCAAACTTGAGATTCTCCTGCCTCAGCCTTGGATATTGGTACAGGCCACCATGCCTGGCACATTGCAGTATGTTTAGTAGATTATTCCTCCTTTCAACATCCTGCTTTATAACAACCTTTCCTGACAGAAGTAGTCCTCTTGCTGTATCATCATATCAGTAAGAAAGACAGTGTATTTTCTCCAAGGAAAGGAGCAAAAAAAAATCAAGTGACTTGGGAGGCTGAGGCAGGGGGACCATGAGTTTGAGGCCAGCCTCAGCAAGTTAGCAGGACCCTGTCTCAAAATTAAAAATTAAAGGAGCTGGGGATATAACTCAGTGATAAAACACCCCTGGGTTCAATCCCTAGTACTATTAAAAAAATTTTTAACTCAAAACGGATCATAAACCTAATTGTTATATAATTAAAATATAAAACTCCTGCAAACCATATGTCTGATGAGAAACTTTTTTTTAAATATACAGACATTTATCAGACGGTATTCTTTTTTATTTTGTACTGGGAATTGAACCCAGGGGTGCTTTATCACTATATCCTCAACCTTTTTTATTTTTTTGTTTTGAGACAGGGTCTTGCTAAGTTGCTTAGAGTCTGGCTAAATTGTTGAAGCTGGCTTCAAACTGGTGATCCCCCTGCCTGAGTTTCCTGAATTGTTGGAGATTACAAGCATGTGTCACTGTGCCCAGATATTTGGTGGTATTCTTGAGACCAATACTTGGAAGGAAAAGAAGCAGGATTTGGCAAATTTAATAATTAAAAATAATTTAATTGGACCTTTATCCAGAATACATAAAGAACTCTTTTTTTTTTTTTTTTTTTTGTTACTGGGGATTGAACCCAGAGGGGCTTTACCACTGAGCCACATCCCTAGCCCTTTTTATTTTTTGAGACAGCAGCTCATTAATTTGCTTAGGGCCTCACTAAGTTACTGAGGCTGGCCTTGAATTTGCAATCCTCCTGAGTCAGCCTCCTGAGTTGCTGGCATTACAGATGTGTACCACTGTGCTGGGCTTAGAAACCCAAGCATTTATTTATTTATTTTGCAGTGCTGTGGATTGAAACCAGGGCTTCACAATGCAAGGCAAGCTCTCTACCACTGAGCTACACACACAAAAAACAAAAATCCTGAGGCAGGAGTACTTCAAGGTCAAAGCCAGCCTCAGCAACTTAACAAGACCCTAAGCAACTTAGCAAGAACTTGACTCGAAATAAAATATAAAAAGGGCTGGGGGTGTAGCCCAGTGGTAAAGTGCCCCTGGGTTCAATCCCTAGTACCTAAATAAATAAATAAATAAGAGAACACTCCAAATGACTATTAATTAATGGATGTGTAAATTAAACATGATATGTCAATACCACAGAATATATTATTCACCAATAAAAAGAAATAAAGTAGGTCCATACTATTATATGAATAAACTTTGAAAACATGCTAAGTGAAAGAAACCAGTCATGAAGGACGATACATTATATAATTCCATTTATATAAAATGTTCAGAATAGGTAAGGGTATGGACACAGAAAGCAGATAAGGGGTAGTATGGTTTGAGGAGGATGCGGTAAGGAGTGACTGCTAATGGATAATGAAGTTTCTTTGAGGAGTAATAAAAATATCCTAAAATTAATTTGTAGTACAACTCTGTGAATGTATAAAAATCATTTCATTATACATTTTAAATATGTAATTGTTATGTGGTCTGCATAAAGCTCCACAAGGCTGTTAAAAGAAATAATCTCTTAGTTCCTATCCTTACATATTTCCCTCAGCAACTGCAGAATGATTCTAAACAGTAGGATGAAAGGGCACACCTGCTGAAAATATATAGGGTTATTTTAATAAGCATTTACTGCTCCATTTCCACTCAAGGCCAAACAGTGGTTAGAATCAAAACAATTCAACTACCAGGAACCGTCTCCTTTTTTTTTTTTTTTTTTTTAATATTTTTTAGTTGTAGATGGACACAATACCTTTATTTTATTTATTTGTATGTGGTGCTGAAGATCAAACCCAGTGCCTCACACGTGTGAGGCAAGCGCTCTACCACTGAGCCATAACTCCAGCCCAGGAGGAACCTTCTGATATTAATGTTATTGAGATTGTTGTGCCAACTCCAAGTCTTAAGAGAACATGAAACATTCATAAATGGTAGGAAATGGAAAGCAGGACACAGAAAGTATGATTTTTAGAGGCTTGTTCTATTTTCACATGTAGCAGACACATTCTCTTTTACTTCTTTGACACGTTTTTGTGGGGGGTACCAGAGATTGAACTCAGGGGCATTCAACCACTGAGCCGCAGCCACAGCCCTTTTTGGTATTTTATTTAGAGACAGGGTCTCACTGAGTTGATTAGTGCCTCGCTTTTGCTGAGGCTGGCTTTGAACTTGTGATCCTCCTGCCTCAGTCTCCCGAGCCTCTGGGATTACAGGTGTGTGCCATCGTGCCTGACTCACTGACACTTACTGAGGGCTTACTATGTGCTAAATTTGTGAAAGGAAAACCAAGCCCTCATCTCTGACCTTAAGAAGCTTACAGTCTAGTAGATATATTTAAATACATCAACCTACAGTACAGAGAGAGAAGCACTATAACAAAGGTATATGTGTGCACAGCATGTTATGAAATAAAAAGTAAAAGAATCAAAATCCATCTAGTAGGAGGGGGAGAATATCAGTATCTCCAAAGGCTTTTTCTCAGAGATTTACTCAAGCTAAGTTTTGAGGGAAAAATAGAAAGCTGGTAATCGGGGAGAGGCAGGATATGATGTTCAATCATAAAGGTCCTTATGTGCTAAACTACAGAGTCTAAGTCAGTCTTTTTGGTCAAGGATAACAAGTAGATTTCATCTTGGTGCCAGAGTTCATCTCAGTTCCAATTTCTATCAATTAGCAATATCTGTCTAGAGTACAACAGTAAGAAGGCTTCTTAGGCCATATCATAGATAGAAAAACCTGCCATGGCCTCAGTAAGAGGGAGAGTTACTTGAGGCAAATATTACCATAATTAATGGAACTGGAGAGTCATTAAGCTGGAGAATGATATGGTCAGAGAGGTCCTTTAAAAAGATAAACGTGACATCAATGGGGGATAAATCAAGGAGAGAAATAAGGCAGGAATTTTAAATAGAAAATCATGTTAATTCTAAGTCTTAGTTGATAAAGCTTAAATAGTTTAAATGGACAAAAAAACAGCTAAAAAAAGACTTAAAGGACTGCAGAAAGCCATCTGTGAAATACATGAGGATCTTCTCTGGGCATGGTAGCCAAGAGAGATAGACCTGGCACTAGAAACCTTCCATGGCTCTCTGATGTCAATAGATTGCCCAGTGCACATGACCTTTCCCTCCACTCTGCTGGGACAGTTCCTCATAGTAGTTCGGGAGATGGGCATAACCCATTAGGAACTGAACAGCCCACTTTTAACCTTTTTTGGAAAAGGACATTCTATAGAATCTCTTTGATGTTCCCCCATATAAATAAAGCAGGCACATGCTCCATTTGATCTAGAAGCTCCATCAGTCTCATCAGCTTGCCTGTCCTGCCTCCACGTTTGAAACTACTTTCTGTGTCTTGTGGTTTTTTTTTTCCCATTCTATTTCTCTTAGTTTTAATTTGTCAGCCAGCCCATTGTACCAAGGGGAAACCGCCAACAAAAAATGCAGGTTGTTTTTTAGTTAAGTTCACTTCAATAGTATTTTTAAAATAAATTTTAAAAAATTTAGTTGTAGATGGACACAATACCTTTATTTTATTTATTTATGTGTTGCCGACGATCAAACACAGTGCCCCATGCATGCAAGGCAAGCGCTCTACCACGGAGCCATAACCCCAGCCCTCACCTCAGTAGTTTTGATATGCTTGGGGCTTGATATTGATTTGGGGAGGAGGGGGAAGATAGGTTCATTTTAGAGTATGTTTATATACCAGATGCTTAAGAAACATAAAAGTGAAGATGTTCAATAAGTAGCTAAAGGTCTAAAGCTAACTGAGTTTTGATTTAAAAATATGAATTTGGGGATCATCTGCATGTAAGTGATAAGTGAAGTTTTAAAGTGTGGAAGGGGTAATTCAGGGAAAGTAGAGTTAAAAGAAAAATAGGCAGCCGGGCATGGTGACACACACCTGTAATCCCAGAGACTCAAGAGGCCAAGGCAAGAGAATCCCAAGTTCAAGGCCAGCCTCAGCAATTTAGTGAGACCCTGTGTGGAGAAAGTGGTGACTTGGAATATGGTCTTTGTCTGCTTTGGAGCTGTGGTTGTACTTTTCTCTGGGAACTTTCCGTGTAAAGGTGCAGGGCAAGATTGCCCAGGAGCTATGGTAATGAAGCCCTGCTTGAGGAAGTTTGGGGTACTGAATAATAACATTCTTGACCTTGAGCTCAGACACAGCTGCTAGGGATACAGAATTCTGAACATAACAAGATAACCAGCATATCTTGCAAGTGGGGCAAACTTCAAGCCTGCTTGCTTTGCAGAAACTCTGGACAATGGGCTTCCTGGGTGCAGCAGGATAATAACAGGATGTTCTTAGCATTGCAACAGTAGAATAGCTACAATAATGTTTCTAGTTCTGTAACTTTTTAGTGCACAAAGAACCCCTATAGTTTTAACTTCCTGATTATGAGACCCTATATAATAAACATGCTGAGCTAGCTCCAGGTCACTGGGTCACTGTTCCTCCATCAGAGGTCGGTATTCCACCTGGT